CTCTTCCCCCAGCCCCACTTCTTCTTCCTCTTCCCCCAGCCCTGCAGAAGGACAAGGAATTCACTTCCCCACTGGCACAGCCAGAGTGTGGAGAACATCTCCAGCAGAGCACAGGCAAGTAGAGTGACCAGAGAGGCCAAGGAGGAGCCCAGGAATGTCCTTGTCCCACCTGGTGAGTGTCACACCCCCCCAGGGTGTCCCCTGCCACCCACACACAGAAGGGGAACCTTTCTGCCCCCCCAAAGAGGGGGAATCACTCACAGCTCTTTGTAGTTGGCATCATACAGAGTTGCCCACTTGTTCTGCTGATGTGGCTGCCACTTGATAGACGGGTAGTTGGGATCCAGGTAGGAGCCATTCAAGCTGTCGTTGTCTTGGATCAGGCCGTGGGGAGAGGGAAAGCACCAACTCCAGTGGCTCCATCACAGCACCCAAATGGGACCATCACAGCACCCAAATGGCCCCATCACAGCATCCAAGTGGCTCCATCACAGCACCCAAGTGGCCCCATCACAGCATCCAAGTGGCCCCATCACAGCACCCAAGTGGCCCCATCACAGCACCCAAGTGGCTCCATCACAGCACCCAAGTGGCCCCATCACACCACCCAAATGGGACCATCAAAGCACACAAATGGCCCCATCACAGCACCCAAATGGCCCCATCACAGCATCCAAGTGGCTCCATCACAGCACCCAAGTGGCCCCATCACAGCATCCAAGTGGCCCCATCACAGCACCCAAGTGGCCCCATCACAGCACCCAAGTGGCTCCATCACAGCACCCAAATGGGACCATCAGAGCACCCAGCTGGCTGAGAGCACAAAGAAGCCACCAGGGTGGCCAGCCTGAAGCTTGCCAGGACCATCACAACAGGCAGGAGATCTGGGCCAGGATGAACCCACCCCCCTGCTCATCTCCTGGGGGTCCAGCTGGAGTGAACCCCACTGCTTGGCACCCCACAGTGCCCCCCACCCCAAAACCCCTGGCCTGACAGGGGTGCCTGGACTGGCAGGAGGGGCTTCCACACCAGGGGGGATTGAGGGAAAGGGGACATGGGGAGGGGACAGAGAACACAAACCTGGTGAGAGAGCTCCTGGCTGGTGCCAGGGTGGGGTTGGGACTCTGTCAGGGTTGAGTGGCACAGATCCCATCCCTGGCTCCTGCTTTATCAGCCCGTTGAGCATCTGAGCATTGAGGGTGTTGGGGGGGGACTCGGAGTGTTTCCTCTTCTTGGCAGGATGGACTGGGAGGCTGTGGGAGCCCAGGAGAAGCCAGGGATCAGCAGCAGGGCCAGGAGGTGACAGCCCCACAGCAGGACCACCCTGGCACCTCACCCCAAACCCCAGAACCTTCCCCCAGGGTCTTTTTTTCTCCCACCAGGCTCTGCCCAACCCACCCTCTGGTGCCCAGGTCACCACGTTGGGGCTTTCCCCTGCTCTGTCCCCACCACCAGCCCGTGCCCTGCAAACCCTTCCTGCCCTACACTTGGGGTCCTCCCCACCTCCCTGCCTCCCCAGAGAGCCAGGGCACCCTCCTCAACTTCCAGTTAAACCCAGTGGGTTTGCTCCCCACCTTCTGCAACCCTCCTTCTCCCCTTCCCTCACCCCCCCCAGGTGGTGACAGGAGTGGGGGGGGGGGGCAGTTTTGAGCTGGAAAAGGGGAGATTTAGGTGAGATCTTAGGAAGAAATTCCTCCCTGTGAGGGTGGGGAGACCCTGGAACGTGTCACCCAGGGAAGCTGTGGCTGCCCCATCCCTGGCAGTGTTGAAGGGCAG